TAGCAGGAAAGAGTACTGGGGTCAAACAACCCCAGCGAGGTGTTCATCCAGCCTCCTCTTAAAGACCCCCAGGGCAGTAGCCAGCACCACTTCTCCTGGAAGTTGGTTCCAGATCCTAGCCACCCTGACAGTGAAGTAGCGCCTCCTGATATCTAGCCTGAACCTACCCTCTGCCAGCTTGTGACCATTATTTCTTGTCACTCCTGGTAGTGCTCAGGAGAACACAGACTCCCCCAGTGCCTGCTGTCCCCCTGACCAGTTTGTAAATGGCCACTAGATCCCCCCTCAGCCTTCTCTTGTGGAGGCTGAACAGGTTCAGGGGCTCCGCCTCTCCTCACACACCTTCTACACGCCACCTGGGTATTATACTGGTATTCAATCTCCTTCCCACAATGAGGTGTAGCCACAAGGTTGGGTCGCCGGATGCTACGTATGTCTGGAAAAATAATGTCAGCTCGGACCAAGGTTCAATCTACCTGAGCTCTCCCCCTCCTCCCCCCCACCCCCAACACCAACCAGTGGCTCATAAATAAATAACAAATAGTAAAACTCGAGAGGACGGCCCATCCTTCATTAATCCTCAAGAAAATCAAGTCACTCAATTCACTTTTTAGACCATCACATGTTGATACCCGATGAAGTCAAAACCACAAAAGTCCTCGATGTTCTTAAAGGAATCAGCCCATTCAGTTCATTTAGCTGATCTATCCACCAACAATAATTAACAAAATCAAGGTGGCACCTGTAATTCATTGTTTACTGAATAAATCAGTTGGTCCAATTAATTTAATTGACTGCTCATTAAATAAATCGATTAGTTCAAATAACTTCATTGACTGTTCATAAAATAAATCGATTCATCCAATTAGTTTCAGTAACTGATCAAGCACTCTGAAATCATTCAGGGGCTAAATCAGCTCACATGATAAATCTCCCAACCTCTGGAAAGTCCAATTCTCAAAAAATAATTCATTCTAAATTACCAGCCGCTCCCAGTTCATCCGCCCGAGTACCATGACCATTCACCAGTTCTGTCAGATCCTAATAAAAAATGATAAACCCTCCCACCCTGTACCTGGCCCGGTCAGCATGTCCCGGGGCTTTCTCTCCCCACCACCTCTCCAGGGGCCTGGATACCTGGTACCAGGTGTTCCTCCGAACTCCCAAACTAAAGAGGTTCTCCCTTCACCAATCTTGTTGGTGTCCAGTTTTCTCTCACCATGGTACAGCTCCACACACCACCTCCATGCCACTCCTTTGCTCCCCTCCACCCGTGCCGTGGTTCTCAGGCATCCTCGAATGCAGAGTGAACAGGAGCTCATGAAGTGGGGTTGCCACTCAGCCATTGCCACTGTCCCTGCAAGAGCACATGAGAACTCTCCAGCCCTTATTGGGCTTGCATGCTTTACCCATGTGTTGGGAGGGGAATTTCCAGAGGTACTTGTCCTTAGGTTCCCCTTTGGTGAATATCCTTTGCTTCCACATGCACCCAATACACTTGGGTGTAAATGACTTTGCAAAGTACAGAGTAGCTAAGAACCTATTTTTTAACTTTGTAATATTTTGCTGCCTAATCAGCAGCAACTTTAACACTGTTAAAGCAACAACTTTAACACTGTTAGCTGAATCATTACCCTGTACAATAATACTCTTAACTGATTACCAAGTCATTACACTGGACAGTTTTATTGGGTTAGCTGAAGTACTTATGCAGAATATATCCTTACACATCTAAAAATGCTTAAATGTCATACTATATCCATGAATTGCTGCAATTCCAGTTGACATCAGTTTCAAATGTGGTACTTAAAAGGAGACAACCCCATAACTAAATATTCATTGTTCTGTTGCATTATATGTCCAGCATAACAGTCATATAATGCAGCAAAATACCTTCTTTCTTCAAAGGTTGAATAATGCCTGAAGCACATTTGCAGATATTATAATTATGAATAATTTAAACTTAAATTTACATGTTTAATCATTTCTTCCAATGACACAATAAAACAGCATTTTGGGTTAGCCTATTTTTCTGCCCTGCAATGGTTTTATGTTAAATTACTAACATTTGTAAATTTGCTTGTCATAAAAACACATCCTAGTATTGATTTAATTACTGAGAGTCTATCACCTCATATATTTCATCTTTTACTGGAGCTATTCTTCAGCAAAAACTTTACTGAGATTTGTTTGTCTTGAATTCAGCAAACAAGAACCAGGAATAAGTTCTGACCTTGTACTGCACAGGCAGAGAGTTCAGGCCAGTCAATGGACCATCTATGAGCCATGCTCTACACCAGAAAAACTTTAATATCTTGAGAACCCTTGCCAGACTGAGCAGCCCAGGCCATTCCAACCCAACGTATTCCCCTGGAAGTGAAATCAAAAACTTTACCACTTCTCCACTAACATTTAAAAGAATGAGAGAGATATAGGTATCCATACCATCCAAACCCAGGGGCCAGGTGGAAGTAGGGCCACCCACCTGTATAACAGTCAAGAAGTTCAGAGGAAATGAGAATGAAAGGAGCAGACAGCCAGCGCACTGCAGGCCTGGCTTACAGCTCAAAGACAGGTATCAGCTATAGCTAAGGTGGGGGCTAAAAACTCCTGCTTTCCCTCAGAACACTAAAACTATGAAGGTCAGCCAAGCCCTAGGCAGGACTTTTACAATCCTCCTTACCTGCAATAACCTCCACAGGTCATTCCATGCAGTTTGCAATTCCAGCACTCTGCACTGACCAAGCGTAGAAGACACAGAGTCATCAAGGGGCCAGCGGAGAGAAAACAAAATGAGCTCTCTGGGCCATTCTGATGTTCTGCCGAAGATCCTGTAAGCCTCTTATTCCCATATCAAATGAGCACAGATTTGGCAAAATAGGCATAAACCAGTGTCCAGTAATTTTGACTGCTTTTAATTCTCCCTCTCCCACCTTTAGAGCTTGGGCAATAAATGCATTCCTTATAATTCTTTCCTTCTTTGCTTCCCCATATCTTTTTTGGTAGGGTTCAGAAAAAACAGTCCTTTTAGCTGATGGTGCAAATTTTATTAAAAGAATAGCTGGAAATTGAGACTATCCTTTTGACAAGCACCCACTGCTCCCTGTGACATTAAGCAGAAGGATATGCATATATCCAGCAGAGAAAAATGCAGCATTTTTGTAACCCTGTAAAGTCTCTGTGGATGCTGCAATCATCTATACAGTACATCCTGATAAGCAGCAATCTGGGTGATTGTCAAGAATGTCAGCTGTCCAAGAAACAGCAGCAGGTAAACAAGGATAGATGTACCAGGGATCAGTCAGGGGCACCTCTATTTCTAGCACCAAGAACTCATAGATTCATATATTCATAGATTGTAAGGCTGGAAGGAACCTTGGAAGATCATCGGGTCCAGCCCCCTGCACCAAGCAGGAAAGATAACTGGGGTCAGATGACTCCAGCAAGACAAGGTAACTGTCCAGTCTCCTCTTGAAGATTTCCAGGGCAGGCGATTCCACCACCTCTGGAGGGAACTTATTCCACACTCGGGACACCCTAGTTGTGAAGTAGTTTTTCCTAATGTTGAGCCTGAAACGGTCTTCCAGAAGTTTGTGACCATTATTCCTAGTTTTCCCCAAGGGTGCCCTGGTGAACAGTTGTTCACCGAGCCCTTGATGTACACCTCTGATGTAGCAGTAAGCTGCTACCAGGTCCCCTTTCAGCCTTCTCTTTTTCAGGCTGAAGAGTCCCGGATCCCTCTTCCTTTCCTCATATGGCTTGCTACACAAGTCTCTGATCATATGGGTGGCCCTTCTCTGGACTCTCTCAAGCCTTACCACGTCCTTGTTAAAATGCAGTGCCCAGAACTGGATGCAGTACTCCAGCTGCGATCTCACCAATGCCGAGTACAGTAGGAGAATCACTTCTTTGGTTTTGCTGGAGATGCATCGATTGATGCATGCCAGGGTATTGTTGTCTCACCTGGCTACAGCATCGCACTGATGGCTCATGTTCATGTTGTGGTCAATTACTCCCAGGTCCCTTTCATTCATAGTGCAGGTCAAGCTGGCGTTGCCAAGCCGGTAGGTGTGTAGAGGATTGTTCGTCCCCAGGTGAAGCACTTTACATTTCTTGATGTTGAACTTCATTTGGTTCCAGTCCGCTCAACTTGCTAGCCTGTCTAGGTCCGCCTGTATCTGCAGCCTATCTTCAAGTGTGACCATGCTTCCCCAAAACCTGGTGTTGTCTGCGAACTTGGCCAATGAGCTCTTCACCCCCACATCCAAATCATTGATGAAGATGTTGAATAACACTGAGCAAAGCACTGACCCCTGCGGTCATTGGCCATTGGCCACTTCCCACCAAAATGACACAGATACATTCATTAGAACTGTCTGGGTCCTGCCCCGCAGCCAGTTTCTTACCCACCTGACTGTCTCACAGTTAAGCCCACAGTCTTCCAATTTTCTTGCAAGAACATCGTGGGATACCAGATTGAAAGCTTTTGGGAAGTCGAGGTATATAATGTCAACCTCCTCTCTCTTATCCAGGTGGCAAGTCTCCTGATCATAAAAGGAGATGAGGCTGGTAAGACAAGACCTGCCCGCGATGAGGCCATGCTGGCTGTCATTCAGAATCCTACCTTCTGTAAGCCTATTGCACATAGACTCCTTAATGAATTTTTCCAGGATTTTCCCTGGGACAGAAATTAGGCTAAATGACCTATAGTTACCCAGGTCCTCCCTCCTCCCCTTCTTGAAGATCGGCACAACATTGACCCTCTTCCAGTCCTTGGGGACCTCCCTGGAGTGTTACTGTTACCTCATGGTGAAAAGTGGAGACTGGGAGCCACTTATCTTTTTCTTCTCTTTTAAGGGGGAAGGCATGTGGCAGAACACCTTTGGCACCTGCCACTTTGAGGGTGACAGCAGGTAGCAGGGCAACTGCCAGGTGCGGCAGGCCCTGATAAAATAGTCACATGGCTGCTAGATGGGCCATGTGATCAGAGGAGAGGACTGAGCAGCCTCCATTTTAGCTCAGGCATCAGGGCTGAGCCAGCAGTTTGCTGCTGGCAGCTGAAACAACTCCTGGCTGAGCTGGTGCTCGAAGCACTTTGGAGGTAAGGGAGGAGCTATGAGGATGGCAGGAGGTTTCTGGGGACCAAGTAGGGTCCCAAGCCCCAGGAAGAAGGCTTAGGCCTAGAGAAAGCAAGGCCCAGCCTAGAAAGGGGGCTTACAACTTGCAGGCCTACACAGGGGCTAGGCAGGCCCTGATTAGATAGGGCAGGGGTGAAGCCAGGGGGCTCAGGTGAGCTCAGGGGAACTAGGCCTCATCCAGTTTTGTGGGGGTGCTACATCAGCCCAGCTTGTGGTGATGGCTCTGTCGTGGGGCCTAGAGGGGAATCCCATCTGGAGCATGGAGAGCAGCAGCTCCCACGCTGACATGCTGATCCCTTGACTGGTCAGTGTAAGGGGGCCAGGGCCATAAGGCTGCAGGGTAATTGAGCCCACCACGAGGGGCAGGCCAGGGCTGTGGAGAGCCCTCTGGTGCCCCAGCTGGCCTGGAGGTGGGGCCAGAGCCTATATAAGCTGACGGTCTTCTCCAGGGGGGAGGTTGGGACATGGACATCACAGCCAACAGGATAGAGGTCAGTCAGCATGCTGGCTGTGATGAAGGAGGATGCAATACAGCCTCTGGAGGGGAGGATTCCCGAAGTGGGTCAGTGTAAGAAATGGGCCCAGGAGAGAGAGCAGACCAAGAACTACAGCCAGGTCCCCAGAGAGAGAATTAGACCAAGGACAGGTAGGCCCGTATTGGCACTGGGTAAGACCTAAAACTGTACCCTGTCAAGGAAGAATGGCCTGATGGGGCTGCCTGTGGTGAGGTAGCTCCCCAGAAGTGCCAGGCCAGTTGCCTCAGCAGTGAAAAGCAGGTAGGGGCACCTTATAACCCCAGCTCCCACCATCTGGCGGGTAATTAAGAGCAGGGGGCCAGGCATGTACATGGACACCTGAGCCCCTGGGGTATCAAACCCTAAGCCCCAGGGAGGGGGTGTGGAGTTGGTCCCCATGAGGGGACAGGAAGGGGACAGGCATGTCTGTATGATGCCTCAGCCTCATGGGAGGGTAAGACCCCAAGTGGCCCCAGAGAAGGAGGAAGAGGTGTTGGCCCCAGAAAAGGGGACAATAGTGTGGCCCCAGCAAGGGAACAGGAAGGGGCCAAGTATGTCTATGTGCTGCCTGAGTCCCATTTTGGGGGGGGGGGGGGGTAATAAGACCCTGGTGACCCCTGGAAAGGGGAACCAAAGAGCCCGGAGTGGGGCTAGAGATGGAGTTCAACCCAGTGTGGGAGACAGGGCCAGTAGAGGGCTGTGTGAGGTACCAGTCCAAGTGAGAGTAGGTAAGCTTGGAAGCCCGTGTGGCGCGTAAGGCACGGAGTACGGTGGGTTGAAAGTGACTCAGTGAAGGGCAGTACGAAAGAGGCCTAGTGAGAGTGGGTGGTATGAATGAGGCCCAGTGAAGGACCAAATGCCAGAAGGAGTGACCGAGGCCCAGCAAGGGGCAGAGTTTGGCCTGGCCTTGGACTGGTAATAGGAACAACTTATGATGACATCTGCAAAGCCGGGGACACTAAGGGGAGGTCGGAGCCATGTGTAAAGCCCTAGTCATCAGGGCATTAAATGGGCAGCCTCCAGCATTATTACAATGAGTATATTAACAAGGCATGGCAGATGAGACCGGGCAGACTGCCCTAGACAGGTGGGTGGGCTGGTACTGTAACCAGGCCTTGAAGGTTGCCCCCGTCACACTGAAAGCAGACTAATAGTAAACTTCTGCTCCACAGCAAAGTGGAGAAAATGAAGGGGGAGGGGGTGCGGAAACAACTCAAATCCACCAGTTACATTCAGCTGAGGTATATGAAACTACTCACAAGAGATTTGGGAGGCCTTAAATACACAAATAAAGTGGCCCATTTAATAAAGTAACGTTCATATAGTGGAGCAGAGCTTAGAGCTGCTGCATTTTACCTGGAAACACTTGTCAGACTCTTGCAGATAATGACATGCACATCATCATCCAAATGGCACTATAGATAGATAGATAGATATATATCTATATATATATAGATATATATATAGATATATATATATAAAATAAAGGTTTGTTTCCATCTGCTTACCACAGGTGGGGAAGGTAGCCTGTAGTTAAGACCACCATGGTTCATTTTATAAGATCATGCTTTTTCAATTGCTTATAAATTTCCCCAAGCTAAAATCATTCGAACTGGAATTTTCTGAGCCAAGTCTCTCCCTCTCAGTATGACGCTTGAAAATGTTCAGCTAAAATTATTCAGTTATTTCTGAGAATAAAGCTGGGGGAAACAACTTGCTTTGTTCATGGAAAATTCTTCCATCCAGTTTGCTGAAAAACAACTCTAGCACTGCATGCTTTGGGGTCACGTTAAGTTTGAAACTCTACCCTGTCTCCTGTGTAATTTGAAGTTTAGCCCCTTTTTGCCACTTCCATGAAAATATATCTAATCTGGTCAACTTCTAAGTATATGAAAGTCTCTTTTGCCTTCTTCTGCAGAGTATGTTGGCAGCATTACTCGCAATACATTCCATTTGCAACAAGCATGCTCCATCATGAAATCGCTCCTGTGTATCAGATGAGCATAGGCCATCCTCACAGAGCAAAGTGAGCAGACAGACACTATAATGGAGATGCTATACTCTAGATACAGGATGAACAGGTCTTCTCCTGCAATAGTTCTTCCAGCTGCTAGGGCCCACGGTGATGCCAACTGTAAAGGTAGGAACAGACATTGCATCTGTCATGGGACAAGTTGTGCCTCATTTGTCCCAGAACAGAAATGTCCTGGTATGGCAGACCCATGCCCAAAGTTCTGCCACTAGCATTGTTTGCTCCGGATTTAGAACACAACGGCCTTGCTCCAGAGAAGGACCCACCCTCAGACTGACCACAACCTTTCCATTCAATAAATAGACAAATTTATTGATACACAGTGATAAAAAAGCGATACAAACAATCAAGCAATTCTATATATCTACCAAATCCTAGGGCTGTCACCAGAGTCAAAGTACATCTGGCCAGGGTGCAGCCTTCACTCTGAGGCTCTCTTAGGTGTCAGATGTCAGCAGTCTGGAGGTGGAATGCCAAGGCCCACAGCCCCACTCCATTGGGGTGGATAAGACAGGCTCGTGGTATGCCCTCTGTCTATGGTAGCCTTGGGTAACCTCTGAGGAGATGGGGATGGGGACCCCTATGAGGAGGAGGGATGGGAAGGGATGAGAAGAGAGGGACACTTTGTTACTTTCAGGTCTTTGCTTTTGTATAGTCCTTGCCTCCTGATGACTTCTCATCTGTGGCTGTCTCTGGTTGGTTGTCTCTCTGTGGTCACATGTCCATGTAGCTTTCTGGACCTTCTCCTAACTTGGTCTGTTCCCCCAAAACCAGGACTCAGCCCCACCCTGCTCTGGGCCCTTGGTAGCTAGTGTTACTTTATCTTGTGTTATGGGCAATGTAGTACATACTCCCTCTGTTTACCAGAATGTGTGTTCATCTGTTGGCCTTGTTATGTTAGATAGCCTGTCTGCCTTGAAGGCTGTGAGAAACTGTATGTGTAACACTCAAGCTTCTTAGAAAACAATTAACCCCTGCTGTCCATCTTAAACCCTTCTAATACATATATCTATACCTATAAGTCAACTCCCAAAAAGCAAACTGGTTAAATACCATTTCTAAGCCAACAGCATGTCCTGAGCGGAATCCTGGGGCCTACTTGCCTGCCACCACTTGGTGTTGTTTAAGGTTACCTGGAGGTGTTGTTCAGTATTTCTTTTCTTTGTACCCAGAGTCTCTGCTAGTATTTCTTCTATGAGGCTTCTCCTCCTCTGCACTTCACCCCTTTCCACTCAGGTGGTCTGCTTCAAGTAATCAGCTCTGGAACTGGACACTGGCACTGTTCATTCCCTAGGAACTCCTGCCCACATTGTTCTTTGCAGGAGTATGGTTAGGCTCTCCCACCTTAATGAATGTACAACTTAACTATAACTGAACACAAGATGCTCGAACAGAGTGGGTAAGCAGGGGACCTCTAATTGCTTCACTTCCATGCTCTAAGCTCAGCAGAAGGTGCCCTCAGAGTACCCGTCATCATTGTGGTAAGCAAGCAGTTGCTTGATCAGGCACGCATCCCCTGCCTCACCAGCTGTGGTTCATGCGCCAATACCTGTTCTCTCCCCCACAGGTTCCTGAACATCTGTGGCTTCTTCTGGTTTGGCAGGGGTCCTGCTTCAGGACTGATCCCCAGCTCTACTGCTGCAGGTGAGCATGATCCCAGGTCCCACAAAGGGTTTCCCCCTGCAGACTGGGCTCTGGCACTGTTATCCAACAGCCAGCTCCTGCAGGGGCTTCCTGGTGCAGGGAGGGTATCAGGTAGGACTTCCGGTGCTCCCTCTTTCTCTTTCTCCTTTTATCCTGGGAGCCCTCCAGGGCTGGGCCACTCCACAGGCCTCCTCCAAGCTGTGTGGTGCCAGCCACTTTCTCCACAGACCAACCACCTGGATGCCAGTGCTGTAGTGAGTTTGCCATGAGCCTGCCCCTGGGGTTGATGTGTATACACATCATCTTTCTAATCAGGGTTTAGTGAGCAGCTGAATGCACTGCCACTTTTTTACCAACAAATAAGTGCTGCAATCCCAAGACAACCATTCAAATACACTTTACAATATCTCAGGATAAATTGTTAGTACTTCTCATCCCATGAACATTTTAAGATTTATCCTGGGATAAGATAAGGATAAAGATTGTCTTTGTCCTGGGATAAAATGGGTTATCCTGGGACAAATGTGATGTCTATTTGTAGTTTAAGAAGACCATTATTTCAGTTCTGCCATGGCTAGTACCCAGGCAACAGTGAATTGCAGGCAAAAGAGATAAACAGTTGAATTGATTGAAAAGTATAAGAATTACAAGTGCCAGGGAAGAGTGATGAGAAGAAAGAGAAATATATAGGAGGTGGAATGGGGTCAGAGATAAACTAGTGATTATAATCCCTTCTATTCTCCTACTTTATACTCACCCTCAGAACTTGGAATTGAACGGAGGATTGGAGAATAGTTGGAATTGAACCCAGGGATTCCATAATAAACATGGTGAAAGACTGGGGTAAGCAATTTTTCACAACCCCATTTTGTGCTTAATCCCCAAAAGTAGATAGTACTTCCAGTACTCAAGTTGAAGAAATGTGTCTGGTGGCTTTAATGGTTCTAATTTGGTATCACAACAGAATTTTTACAAAAAAAGAGAAAACACATCCAAAAGCACTACTATCTTAGAAGAATATTTAAGTTGTGAAGTCAAATGCTCAAATGTTGAGACATGCCAGAATTAAGAGTGCCTGTACAACTGTAATTCACACTCCGTGTAACAATGCAAAGCACGTCACACAGTGGGAATGAAGAAGGGGGCTGTGTAGGTAACCAGGTTATTTTCTGAGACCTCCTGCATCACTTACAGAAATTTGTAAACATAATAAATGAGGTAAGGAATCACAGGTTGGTCTCATGTTTAAGACAACTGAACATTTCCCTGGAAAGTTAAAGCCAATATGCATCTCTGCAACAGTTCTCATGCAGTGGTCATAAAATTGTTTAAGTCAAAATATGTTCATTTCTGGGTATCTCTTTTCTAATTGCAGATAGTTAAAGGTTTCTTGTGCAGCCACATCTGTCTTTGTAATTTTCCTTATTTCCCTCATCCCTCCAGGGCTCTTAAAGCAGGAGATCAACCTTTTTTATGGTGCAAAGAGTTGTATATTTAAAGTCCTCTGGATCTAAACAAGAATTAAAAAAGAAAATGAAGACAATAAAAACCACCCTTAAAATCAAAACAAAAGTCTATTCAGGGAGACACAATATTGAAAGAAAAAAGCAAGAGGGAGCAGTTGGAATAGGTAAAAAATATAAAATCAAAAACAGTACAATTAGAGGGAAAGCAGAAGCTGATACAAGGTGAGAAAAAACATGTGAAATTCAAGAAAATGCTATAACTGAGGGAATAGTTAAAAGAAAACAAACATTAAAACCAGAATGCCTCAAATAAAGGATATTAATTATCAGTAATTAATTTCCTTCCCTTGTCTATACATCATAAACAGGATTTGATCTAATAGAATACATAAAGTCAAGTATTATAAGGAGGAAGTATAAAGAATACAGGAAAGAATTCAATAGCCATACTAAAACTTAATCATAAGATTTTGAAAGATGTGACCTTTTTAGAGAAGAAATAAGAATTCCACTTAGATTTAACTCCACTTAGCCTTCCTTTGTACCTTCATATGCACCATATATTTTTACACTGAAGTAATGTACATTATCCATCTCCTACTGTGGATGTTCACAGACAAAGAGGACAAGTAATCATGTGGAGTGCTCACAAGTTAAAGAGCAACAGAAAGTTTACAGTTAGTATAGTTAAATCCACACCTTTATTAAAATGTACCACCTCGGGTTTTAATTTAATTTTCCATAGCTCATATATACTGGATCTGACTTACCAGCATGGTATCTTGTATATTCAAATGGTATAGTGAGGGCAACATAAATTATTTATTTTATTGAGAAAAAAATACCACTTTCCAATTAGCCTAAAAAAATTAAAAATGAAAAAGAAAATCATAGGTTAGCAAATAGTGAACAGTGGTCTGGGTGCTAAGAAAGTTTTCTTTACATAAGATGATTTTAGTCATTTTGTTTTTATAGATAGCCATGACTTAACAAGATAAATATGATCATTGGATTAAACAGCACTGAGAGGAATACGTTTTGTTCTGAAAAGAGAGGTAAAGGAGACAAGAAGGACACAGAATAGTATGTCAAGAATATACATACTTGGTCTAATATACAAGAGGAAGAGAAAGGCCTATATGTTTCTCTGATAACATGAGATTAAGATAAATGGGATTAAGAACAGTAATGATGTTATAGTAGAGACTTATTCTTGATGACAAAAATCAGGAAGAGAAGGATGAGGAATTTAGTAATCAAAATAGCTAAAAAATGTGAGTTAGGAATAATGGAAGATTAATTTCCCCGATATCTGTTGAAAGAAAAATACCAGCAATTATAATGGACTAAATCCTATTTCACTCTACACATCTGAATGCCACATAGGAAGCTGCCTAACTGCAGTCTTACGCCCTTGAGTGTTTGGGATTCTGTTTCACTCTGTGGTCCTCTCAACATTTAGTTTAGCAGCGAGGGTACTTACCCAGAAGTGGTGGCCCAGGTTTTAGGTCACTAACAGGGTGGCCTGTCCACTTACTAGGAAACAGCCAGCGTTGTTGAAAGCCCAGCTGCGTGGTATTTGCATAATGATGGAGTTTCCCACTGGGATCTTAAAACTCCAGGGGAGAAAGCAGAAAGGAAGCAAATGGTGAGTGAACAGTTTGCAAGCAAGAGGCAGACTGTGAACAGAACAAACTTGCTACCAAGGAGAGGCCAAGCTGCTGTGCCAGGCTCAGAACCAAAGGGCTACCCTACCTCCTGGAGCCCAAAACAGGGAAGCAAGGTTTGGTCTTGTTTATTTTGTTGATGGCTTGTTACTCAAAGACTGTGTTATAATTGAGAGGACTAGCTGGGGAGGTCCTCAGGAAACAGAACTTACCTGCAAAAACCAACAGGCTATGCAACCTGCTTACAAGCCAGCTTCTCAAGGCCTTGTTGCACCTTACACTGTAAGCTGAACAAATGTTAATCAGCTTAATGTTATTCAACTTAGTGGAGCAGTCATACCTAAGCCACCTCTGACTGCCCTTCATCTGCACAGCTGTGATTTGCCCCTAGAGGTTTGGTAACTAAGGGCAGGACTAGGAGCTAACGATGGGGCCAGCTTGTTGCTTGAGCTCCAAGGGTCCCAGTCCTTTTCTTCTCTGAGCCCACACCCCTGCCCCACACTCACCCAGGCACCATCGGAGCTCTGAAAAGGATCAGGCCTCTTGGAGCTCAGGGCAGCACCCAGCTTGCCAGCAGCCTGGGCCACAGTGTCACAGGGCGGGGTGGGCTCTGGAAGAAAATAGGATTGGGTCCTCAGGACCTGGACACGCACACCAGTGGGGCCAAGCAGCTGTGAAATGTGTACCTGCTGACCCCGCACTCCACTGGGATGTGAAGCGTCCAGCTGCCAGCTCCCCCTTCCTGGCTCACCCAGCAGTGGCTGAGGTTGGCAGGCACCTGAAGCCCCTGAACCCCCGTGCAGCAGCCAAGCAACTCTGGGTATGGAGTGCAGGGCTCAGCACTGCCCATCTGGGCTGGGGTGCACAGAGCAGGAGGGGAGGCTGCATCGTTCACAACTGCCTCCCAACCCCAGCAGAGGCAGGAAGTCCCATCCCTGTGCCCACCTCCCCAGGTATGTTCCCAGACCACTGGGCCCAAGGAGAGTGAGCAAGCTCCAGGGCTGTGGTGCTATCTCTGCCTGTTGGGAACAGTGGGGCAAAGGCACTGTGTCCAGCCCTACAGCACCCCAGCGTCCCCTCTCACCCTGACTCGGGAGGAGCCACTGAATACTGGGATGCTGGAGGACTTCAGCTTGGGTGGAACAGCTGTCTGAAGTGGCCACACCTTAATAGAACTGGTACAAAATTAGGCAGATTAGACATAATCCTGCACTAGAGGGGCATAACTTTAAAATGAGTGCTTTAAACCATTTAAGAGGTGTTAACATGCAACTAATCCAGGTTAACAGCTCCAGAAACCACTTAAAGTTACTGTGTAACAAGGCCCCCACTTAAAGCAGGTTTGAACCTGTATCTGAACAAAGGCATTATTCAGAGCCATCTCCTGCCATTCTCTTGAAGCTGAGCCATTGCAACCTGCAACTTGCTATTAATTGGATAAATAATACTGGAGACATTTCTGCCCCATTGGGCATTTATACATATGCTCCAGGAGTTGGGGCGGGGGTGCTTTAATTAAAGCCCCGGGAGCTCACGTGTATCAGTGTCAAGTGTATCAGTGTATTTATGCAAGGTGCTGAAAAATGGCAGTAGGGGCACTTTAACTAAAGCTTATCAAATGAACTTTCATTAAAGCACCCCCACCATCTTTTTCAGTGCAGGGATGCTGATACACGTGACACCGGAGTCTGCCCCAATGCACTGATAGCACCACGTTACTCAGTGGGCATGTCTACACATGCCCCTGACTGCACATTTGGCACTGCACAGTCATTTAGTGTTTGCTTTAGTACTAAATGACTATGCACAGTACCAGCAGCACAGTTATTTTTAGATGCTACGGTGATGTAGCATCAGCATCACAGTTTGTGCCCACAGATGCTACATCACCATAGTTCATCACTACAGCAACATAGCATCTTGTGTAGACACACCCCGTATTGATTAAGCTTCAGCGGGAGTATAGCGTGCAGTTCTGGCCTTCACTTTTTAAGAAGGGTGGAGTGAAACTGAGGAGGATCCAGAGATGACCAACATAGATAATAAAAGGGTTTGGAATACAAGTCATAAGACAAAACATTGAGAGAACTAGGTTTATTTATTTATTTTGGAGAAAAGGAAATAGAAGAGAAACATGATAGCAGTTTCCAAACATTTGAAAGGCTGCCATAAAGAAGAGGGAGAACAACTGTTGGCCCTTACCATAGGGACAGGACACAATGCAATGGTTTTAAACTGCAGGAAGACAGATATGTTGAATCTCAGAAGAAAAACTTTTGTACTGTCAGAACAAGCTGCCCAGGGAGGTTGTAGCCATCTCATTCATTGCTGATTTCCAAGGAGATACCAGATAAACATTTGTCTGGAATATTTTAGGAATAAGCAGTGGGTTGGACTACGTGGCCCTTGAAGTCCCTTCCAAACCTATGATTCTATTACTTGAAAAGCTACCATAAATGAAGAGAAGAACTGCCACAGAGAGCAGAGCACAAAACAATGAATTTAAACCACAACAATTCAGATTTAGATTAATTCTCAGGAAAGTCTTCCTAACTGTATAAACTATAGAACAATAGAACAAGCTGCCCAAGGAAGTTGTAGACTCTCCTTTACTGGAGGTTTTTAAAGAAGAAGTAGAAACATCTTCTGTCTGAGATGTTCAGGAACTGAATACTTTATTTATGCAAGGGGTTGAACTAAATGACCCTTG